ATGTGTCGGGGGGGCGGTACCCCCAGGAGGCCCGTCGCGCGGCAAGAAGGCAAAGTCAGCGGACGAGTCGCGCGCGTACTATAGGGATTTCGCGTCAAGTTAAATAGAGTGTCCCACTGCACGTCCTACATCGCACACCACGCGCTGCAACTCGTCCGCCGACTCTGCCTTCTTGCCGCGCGACGGGCCTCCTGGTACGCCCGGGGGGGGACCCTTCGTTCCAGCGGCTTAGCGGAGTAGTGTAACTTCAAACCTTAGCTCTCACGGAACATTGATTCCACCAGGTATGTAGCTCCCTCCCCCCCACCCCCTAATGGGCTACATCCCTCTGGCTCACAATCTCACCGCTGCGCAGGCCGCGCGGCGAGGCACCCCACGCCCCATTGCGCCTTGCGCTATAACTTCGGTGGGGTCGACGTACAAGCCTGAGCTCTTGTCCTTCGGAAAAGTTAAGTCCAGCAAGCCAGAGGATAAAAAAGGATAAAGCCATTTGCCGTTGATCAATCCTTTTTGGGATGCGGCACGCATCTCTACTTCCATTTGTACATTCGTAGTGGCGTTTGAATGCGATGTGGCCTATACAATGACTTGCGGGGCCAGCCGATGTACAAGTCAGTGTTTTTATCCTCCCAGACAAGTCTGGTACCAATTAACCGACCCCGGAGGGATGGAAGGCTTGGTTGGCCCGGGCGACTCACGACCCAGGATTTGATCCCCGGACCGCTCGCGTGGTAAGCGTGCCACTTGCCACTACACCACTTCCGCCCTCAGATAGAAAGAAAAATTGGTTGGCTTTTCTTGTTAAAACGGCTTCGGAATTTGATCCACCCACGGAAATTTATAGGTGATAGCCACATTCTATCGCCCATGTCCAAGACTGTAGGGCAACTCATAAATGTCATGCGCATGGCGTACGCCTAACCTTTGCTTGAACTCATGATATGGTGTGTTTTCGAAGGCACTGGATGAACATCAAAATATCACCGTCCTCTCCCTAATTTTACTTTTCATTTTCCGTTTGACGAAAGTGTTGTTTAAGGTCTCATCGCAAGGAGTCACGCTTACTGATAATACAAGAAAAGTGTTTTTCCGTCGACACTTCCCCGTGAACTCGGTGATCTTTGCTGGTATGGATCCAGCAGACAGAAAGTGAGTTTCGATTATGCCCCTTCGGAATTTTAAGTGCATACGATAAATCTTTCTCTTGATCTTATGATAAAGGGAAGCCAAGTGCTCTGTACCTAATTTAATAATGACTGTAGTTTGACATTTTCTTTGGCAGTAGAGCCAAAATAAATTACAGCGTCAGAACAACTGCATACTGAATTGGCAAAAGGGACAGAAGGTAATTTTCTTGATTAACTATAGACACTAATTTCAGATTCGATAACTATTGCGTGATTGGCTTCCACGATGCATGCATGAAGACTGCTCGGTTATTTGCAATTGTTGCAAGAAAGGTCGGTAACCTCCGCTACATTGATGCTCGCGATTCTTTACGAGCAAGTGATGAAAACATTAGAAGAAGCAGTGTTAAGTTGTCCTCTAGCTTGGAACTCCATGTATAAGATGATGTTCTGACCCCGCTGTCCATTATCAAAGCCCCGTTTTAAATGCGGATCCCAGGAAAATTAGCCCCTTGGTTCTAAAAGTAGAAGTGATAGAGTGTGCACTGGTCAAATTTCAAGAGATTTCAGGAAAACTCGAAAGCGCATGGCTTTGAACCCGGGTGAAAAGGACCCCCAAACCCCCTTTCTTGATTTCCACAGGAGAGAGCAGTCCAAGGCCGAGCTGGTTTGCCAGCCTTACCCTTGTTCAGAGTTTTTTGAAGTTTCGGGGAGGAGTTCAGAAGTGTGTCAGAAAACCACACTACTAATGGCACCCTCAGCTAATTGCAAGGGAGGGTGGGTGGAGGCGTTGAGACGAGGCCGAGTAGGAGAAGATTTAGGGAAGAATCGTATCGACCCTATTCTTTTTTCCCAGACACGTAGGCTTACGCCTGCGTGAACTGGTCTTCCCATTCAAATACAGCAACCCATTCTTTCTGTGTCGATTTCTATTGTATACCATTTCTAAGTTCAAACTTGAGAAGAAACAGATGAGTGAAGCATCTTAAATAATCCTACTGAATTCCAGCCGTCATCGATGGAAAACGCTTGCCACGTGTTCTCCGAATTTGAACCAGAACAACCAGCAACAGCCGTTGTGAATTTCATCAACAAGGTTCTATTCGCCAACAGGCGTTCATGACATCAACGATGCAACACAACGGCTTGTGGTCAAGCCACGCCCCATGGTGAAGCCACGCCCAACTCGCAAATTGTCTGCTGGTAAATGTCTGATGGATCAAGTACTGTAGAGCGTTAGATTTGTCTATAGTCCCCTCCTTGATTAACACTTCAATCCTAGACCAACCTCAAAGATTTGCCATGGCGAAAATTCGGCACGGAAAGGGATTGGTAGGTTTTTGTCATAGTTTTTGAGCTTGTTTATGCTCTGGGGTTAAACCTCATATCGTATCTATCACAGCAAATCCCACCCTTGCTGACTTTACGCCGCTAATATTTCGCACCACTAAATATTAAAAACATAATACATTGTTCAGCATTTGCTACATCGTCATTTCTTGCTCAGATTTCACAAGCTGGGATACGGTAAACCTTGACCGTGGTAGGAATTAGTACTGAAAACAGCAACTGACCAGCAAATATAGGGTCATTCAGCCTAATGGACTTTCGAACCTTATTTCCTACCACGGTTAAGTTTTGCAAGCCATAAGCTGAGATTACACGTGCTTCTATTGGTTTGTGTCGATGATAATGATTAGTTCAAACTGACGTGAGAAACCTTTGACAGCAATCATTTGTCTATTCATTGATCTATTTTGCTAGAGTCTACGGTGCTTCACAGCTTTTATTATATTGAAATGTGTACTGTAGCTATTTATGTAGCCCTGAAATCTTGTCGTATGCATGATTTGTTTTTTTTTCGGAATTTTTTAAACAAATAGAATTGTGTCTTTAGGTCCATTTTCATACTCAATGCGGAGCTCAGCATATTTGCAGTCCATTAGTTATACAAAGGCTCGCCATCTTCTGCTCTTGTGTATTGAGTTATCTTCTCGTTGTACTATTTTCCCTTTACCAAGGATTCTAAGCCTTATCGAGTGTCTTCGCGGTGAACCAGATCGCTGTCTTAATGCTTAAGACTCTAGTCAACGTTCACTCATACAATAGCTAAGCACAGATTTTATCCGAAATACTTGTATATATATGAGGCTAATAAAGGATTACTTTGTTCACCAGACAGGACTTGGATACAACTAATTCATCTGCGCAGAGAAGGTTTGGATGTGAGGAAATCAAGCGTTTCGATGAGTCCGAGTAGAACTCGAGTGCATGGCGCATCTCAAGGAACAAATTGTTCAACTTCAAGCAACTTAGCTCCAAATTTTTATACAAAGCGCATTCATGCGCTAAGTCTAATACAGGTATCGCAATAATAGTGATTGTTCAACTTTAAACCCATTCGCGACAATGTCAGCCACTGTGGCTGACGCGGTTAAAATGGAATTTTTGCCAAAAATAACAGAAAGAGTCTTTTGGAGATTTCTTAGTCGTGTAAAATTCCAATACCTCATCTACATATTCGCATGTCACTTTTGCATGAGGAAATCTCTTATCCCAAAATTTATTGAAAAAAAATATCCTCTTGACTCTTAAAACTTCACAGCAATAAAAGTTGAAATTTTCTGAAACTTCCCATTTCTGTGGGGTTTTTGAGGGTCTGACTCAAGTATAATATTCGTCATTTTTGGGCGGCCAGCGCCAAAAATGTACGGCTTCAAATATTTGAGGTGTCTTTCACCAAATTTCGCGTTGGTTATAACTTGCGGTATGGGGGTTTAATTAAGTTAAGGCGCTGATTACGAACATGTTACATAGTTTAGTTCGTTGGGACTAACCATCACTGTGTTTTCAAATGCCTGCTCTGGCACCTCTCTTAACAACTATTTGTGGTCCCAATTCTTTGGGGGACTAGGCAAGGTGCTGGTCGTGTCTAGAACGTGGAATAAACTTTTTTCGAAAACGGTTTTCTGTCTGTTAGTTGAAGCTTTCATTGCGTAGACTTAACTGGGAAATAACCGATGGTCTCATTCTGTGAGCATTACGCCCGACGAAGGTCACAAATAAAATTGAGGAAAGGTCTTTGAGTCTTCATGTCCCTTCGTTGATGAACGAAAATTGCAATTATGGACCCCGAAAATTTGACAACATCAAAGAATAGATATATATGTTCATTATAAAGACCATCAGTAACTAGTGCTTTCAGATTTTCACCGTAATGTGGCGGAAAAAAGTTGTTACGCCAGAGGGGCGCCAAATGGCGCCGTAGCGCAAATTGGCGTAGCAAGTGGCGTAAATTTTAGCAATCGGAAAAAATGAATGTCATATTCGTAATCAGGGTCTCAAACAACCCCTATATACAAGTTTACATCGAATTTGACGAAATTCAGTCAGGGCGCCATCTGGCGCCAAATGGCGCCAGCGCCAGAAAGTGGATCCTATAATCGTGATCAGGCAATCCGCTTGAATAGCTCTCGATAGATAAGTTTCAAGCGCAAACTACAGATGAACATATAGAGAAAAAACTAAAAAAAGAAACTAAACTGAAAATGGAACAATGCATCCACCTCGGTGCTGAATTAGCCATCGCCTCGCCCGCGCTGGCTCCTAAGGAGTTCTTGCGAAATACCGGCCGGTCGCGAGTGGGTTGATTCAGAAGCAGGTTGAGGTATGGACCTGATTGGGTAAAGCTGTAGTAGAAATGCGTAATTTTTGAGTTTGATAAATTCACATATCTAAGCTTAGCGAATGAATTCGCATCGATTTCATTGAATTCCTAATATACCTATCGCTATAAGGAATAGAAACGCAACCGATTCAATTAGAAAATTCTTTTGATGAAAAGGAGGAAAAAAGAACAATGATAACTGTCAAGTCGATTAAATCATAGCCGAGACCGGTGCAATACAAGTGGGATGGGCACGCAGTATTTTTTGAATACGGTAGGCGCGAAATGTATGTAAGTGGGACTGCTGCCCGCTACTATGGTGTCACGAGAATCGAGGGAATTCGTGAGCCAGGGGAGTGTAGCCAATCTAGGGGGAGGGGGGCAGTGAGGGCAGTCACTTAACATGCGTGAAAAGCTGAAATTTGATAGCAGTTGAATTCTTCTGTGCCGTACAGGTTTTTTACAGAAGCTTTTATTAAGCCGACGTTTCGACTAATTTGACTAGCTGAAATTTGAGTTGCTCCATATCGTCTCGTCACGTCACAGTAGCGAGCGGCAGTACCCACATACATGCGTTGAAAGTTGCCATAAAAAACAAGTCACCCAGATGAACTTTCTTATACTTCGTAACCCTTCCTGGTTGCCAAAATGCAACTTCTACAGTACTAATCGAGGCCAAGCTCGGAAAAGCCTTTGTGGAGCTGATGAAACAGAAATTTTTTTCTGAAATTAATCTTGTTTTTGGGATTTTTAGACAATTCCGATATATAAATACAGAGCGATTGTTACGTGATAAAGTGGTGTTCAGGGTCAGCGCACAAGAATGTCGCTAAGACCGATTTGGCTTGATTTGTGAAGCTTAAAAATTTGAAACTTTTTTGACTTGTTTTTGTTTGTTAACTGCTGTTTTTGGCCGCAGTTCGCCTTGCGAATGTTTCACAAGAATGCTGGGTTGTGAACAAAACTTTCGCCCCAGGCGGGACTAGAACCCGCACCTCTTTTATGGGGTTAAAATGAACTATCACAGGATAAATTCGAACGGGAACATGTTCAGATGTGCCATGGTGTCATAAGCGATCACAACGCGCAAAGCAGTGAGTGAGGGTTCGATCCCCGCCTAGGACAAGGTATTAAACTTACACCGAGCACCCCTGTGATAACTTCAGCATGCCGAATGGCATGGGTCACCGTATGACACAATGTTAGCCCATCCTGTACGGGTGAATCAGTGCCCTTAT